TGCTTCTGTGGACCGTTCTCCACCACGAAGGGTTTGCGCTACCCTGCGAGAATTACGGAACGGATTTTTTTTGTCTCATGCCACGGCGCCAACTGTGCAATTGGGATAAAAATTGGGAACTAAAATACAATCTATATATTTATTGCATTCTGTCACAGAGACATTTCTCCAGGCAAAGTCACTTCCAGCCCCAGCAAGCGCTCAGATAATTGCTGTTATAGCGAGACAAAATAATTGTAGATTTAAGCTCGGCTACGTAAATGCTGATGTGGCTGGTCGTCTCACGCGTGTCACAAGCACGCGGGAGTGAAATTTCTCCACACGTGTCACCGCTATTATCATCATCCTCATCATCCCCGCGGGAGCACATCATCAGCTTAGGGATTAAACTCCGCGCGGAAACCGTGGCCAATGGCAGCGAAAAATATAAATGGCTGGCAAGGCGACACGTTACGAATGCGCGCGCGCGTGCATGTGTGCGCGCGTGTGCGTACGCATGTGTACATGCATACACACACGTATGCGCACGCGCGTACGCACATGCATGTGCACACACGCAAGGTCGACTCAAATGAGTAGCTTGCGCAGCGCGTAAACATTGCGACAAGGAAGACAAAGGCGGCCGGGCGTGGTGTTGGCCACCCACCCACTCGTGTAGTGTGCTGGCCTCCATTGGTGCCACTCTTGCCACAAAAGTCTGTTAAGACTATACGGGGCATCCTTGTCTTTGGACATATTTTGGAATGTACGAACAGAAGGCACTTGGGCAGCTTTAATCAATATCAGAATGTGTGCAGGCGCGCGCGTGCGCTGTGTGTGTGTGTATGTTTTATTTTGTGTGGAGCGGTTGTGCAGTGGTTCTCGCACTGCGCTATGAACGGAGTGGCTAGATTTCAATTCGGAGCCACAGCTAACATCAGCGGCGAGCCGTAACCGGTATCACAAAACCGTTCCTGAGCCCCCCCCCCCCTCCCGTTAGGTCAATGCAAGCCTTCAACGAGTACCTGTTCCAGTATGTAAATATTAGCACCGGGGACACACAGCGAAGTTAGCTGTGACGTTCGCAGCAGCAATCCCTCGTGTGGCCGTCCCAGCCTTAATTTTGCGCTCGCTAATAGAATTCGCGCTTGGGGGAGGGGGGGGGTCTTTAAAAGATGCTCCGGGGGCGACCTTTGTCATCCGAGTGGAAAATGAGGCACTGCGCCTGGGCTTCATTCCCGGCCACGCACACACCAAAGACCCCCCGTATAGCCTTAACATACTGGAGGGGCAAGTGCTGTTAGCGAGCAACTATGAAGGCCGGCACGGCACACGAGGGGGTGGGTGGCAAACACCACGACCGGCCGCCTTTGTCTCCCCAGTGGCGATGTTTACACATCGCACCAGATTATCATTTGAGGCCGAGTCGACCTAGGGGAGGCCCAGGATCGGTTCAGATAATCGTCACTGGGTGTTGGCCGTGAGCGGCAATCGAATCCGGGTCGCCAGGTTCGTAGCGCAGCGCCCTAACCGCTATACCACCGCTCCCCACATACACACGCACCAACACCACTACAACCACCACCACCAATGTCATCACCACCACCACCACTGTCATCACCACCACCACCACCAGTGCCCAACCGGAATCGGGCACCCAGCGTGAGCATCCGCGAGGTTGACTGAGCTTGCAATGGTGAACTGTCATAACACCAAAACAATATATGGTACTGGGGCGGGCGTAGGCAATCACGCGTAGCCCTCCATGTGCTGTTCCGGTCATACCAAGGGGTCTGCCAAGAGCACTTACCATAAGAGTACCGCATTCGAATATACAATGGGGAGCTTTGTGAGCGTGCTTTTTTGAGACGTATGTGCGTCCGCCGTCCACACATTGTGTCTGCAAAACGTTCGTTTTGTGAAACCGCATTCAGTGCCGCGCGAGCGCAAATAACGAAACACGACCGCGGTCGTTAGTAGGACTGCCCTTGAAAGAGGAATACGTCAATAATAGCCGACGTTTCAAGCAATGTCTCTCCTTCATATTCCTCTTCTTCTTATTCTTCCAATTGCCCGAACTGGCGTGGCATTATATGTGCGTGGCCGCACGTGTTTATGCAATTTCATGAAACTGCAACTGAAATCTCGATATGCATGCACGTGCATTAGTTTGCACTCGGCTCAGGTCTCCTGCCGTGCCGTCTCATCCAACACATTGAGCGCGTCCCCGATGATCCGTTCGTGGAGCGGTGAGTGCGCTACGAACCTATCAAGCCGAGTTCGATTCCCGCTTACGGCCAACGCATACCAATGACGATTGTCTGAACCGCTCCCGGGCCTCCCCATAGGTCGACTCAGCCTCGAATGAGTACCTGGTGCGTTGTGAAAAACATCGCCAATGGGGAGACAAAGGCGGTCGGGCGTGGTACTGCGCCACCCACCCCGCTCGCGTGTAGCTCGCTAACAGCCCTTGCTCCGACAGTCTGTTGAGGCTATACGGGGGATCTTTGTCTCCTTTGAGATCGACACCAGCCCGCGCACGTGCCTGGTTACCAGAAAGAGACGCGTGGCATCGTGGCCGAATTTCAATGCATTGCATTACCAGCTAAATATATTTTCTTCCGAATGACACTCCAGCGTGTCCCGATCTCCACAGCACCGCAGCTGCGAGTAAGTGTTATGTTTTAGTGAGAGGGGGGGGGGGTTGTATTTGCTTTCTTCTTGGGCGAGCACAGGCTATTACTTTGCTGCTGGGGCTGCAGAAACGATACAGACATGCCCATTAGCGGTGGGCGTGTTGGGAAGATTGCATCCCATGGCCGTCGCGCGCGTCTCGCGCCGTACACTGTTAATCAAGGAGACCATAATCGTGTTGTTATATACGACACGTGTATCCGTGCGGAGAGAGGTACCCGCATGAAGCGTGGAGTGGTGGTGGTGGGGGGGGGGGGGGGGTACGTGCGTCATTGATGTTGTCGGTTCGCGCAGCGCGCGCGTGCGTGCGTGTGTGAGAGAGAGAGAGAAGAGATGAGAAGAGAGGGAGCGCCCACAACTTTGGGTAGTGCAACATTCAGGAAGGGGGGGGGGGGGGGCTCGGAGCCAAGAGCAGAGAAACCTCCATTCATTTGCCTCCGTCCTTCACAGCGAACGCGCGCAACGCAACGCACGCGCGCGCGCGCACGCGCACACACGCATGAAGTCACACGCCGACCCACAGCACCCAACCCAACCCACCCACCCACCATCCGTGACGGCTCGCACTGGCTGATTGGTGGGGGTGTCTGGGTGCTGGGCCAGCGAGCCGATGCGAGGGCATTTCAGTGATGAGCAAATTCAGGCTCAGACGTCCCTGCTCTTGTTTGATCGGGCGCGCTGTGCCTGCAGCGGACAAGATGAGAGTGCAGAGCAGGTGAGAAGGGGTGGGGGGGGGGCTGCCTTCACCCGATCGTTGTTGTCACATCATCGGCGTCAGTCATCATCATCATTGTCATCGCCGTCATTGTCATCACCATTGTCCTAATCATCGCCGTGACAACCACTGCAAGCATTCCATTGTCGCGATCGCATCGTCAAAATGATCATTGTCATCGGCATCTTTGGCATGATCATCACCACTGTCATTGTTGTCATCCGTATCATTGCATTACTGCACCATCATCCATATTATCGTTGTTATCATCATCACAGTGACATTACGGTTATTGCCTTAATAATTATCGTTTTTCAGTGTTGTTTATAGTCACAACACGATATAGCGTGTATTACTCACCCTGCAATGAGTACACCAATATGTTTGTCGTCTTGTGTGTTCGCATAATTATTGCAAATAATAACGGTCAGCATTGTGTTGCAATTTTTTTATTTTAATGACCTCGATCTTGACCTATGGCATCAATGCCAGTGCCAGTTTGTCGTGAACTTGTAGCTGAAGTGTTATCATTACGCATACACATTTGAGCGTAATAATGTATCATCATTATGATCATCACTGTCATCGTTAATATTCTCCAAAAGTTATTTTTTCCACGCAATTTTATCATCATAATTGTCATTATTCCAAAAACCATAATTATCATCGCATCATTATTCTATTGCTATCACCACCACCACCACCATCATCACATTGTGCAATTTAGAATTGTTCCCAAAATAGTAATTATCACAGTAAAAACAGTAATTATTGTATTATTATAATCACCACCATCATTACTCTCTCCTATTATTTTCACAAAAGGGATGATCAACCTCCTCCACCCCCCACCCATTGTTCTACCATCGCCGTAAGCATTGCCTTAGCATTATACAGTTTAACAATACAATTGTTCCTGGGTAGTAAGTCTTATTTCTTAATTGCTTATGCCTCAAAAGTACAGAAAATGGCTATGATATTTTGAAATGTACCTATTTTCATTGAGAAAACGCGGTGTGCATTTGTGTCTTTTCGTTCACGTAAAGTCCTGGTCACAAAAGCAAAGTTTTCGGGGAATAATAGTCATTTTCTATACTTTTTAGGCATAAGCAATAATAAAGATAACACTTAGTACCCAGGAACAAAAATTGTGTTACATAGGGAATTATCATTCTCAATAGAACACTGATGAATATGAGAACATGCCTCAAGCATGTAACAACATCATCAATTAATTTCTTAATACTCAAAAGATTGTCATGACCTCATTTGCTCATCATCATCAATATGACCACCACTATCACCTAAGCAACGATGTTAGTGGCTGCACTGTTTCTGTGCAGCGAGAACAAAAGGGGTTGTTGGCAAGGCGTGCGAGCTTTGATGTGTTTGTGAGCCCCACATTACATTGATTCGTGCTTGAGAATCAAGCGGGGGAGGGGGTAGGGAGTGAGGGAGAGAGGGCAAACGCCTCGTGAATCTCTTCCGTGTAACGTTTGTGAGCAGGTGGCAAGCCAGCATGGGCAAGGCAACTGGGCAAAGGCTACGATCCAAATATCCACCCTACCCCCACCTCTCTCTCTCTCTCTCTCCCTAAAGCAACGCACGCCAGCCGGCAAATCTACGCTCATCCGTTCACTCACTCCCGAGTCTCGGACACTTAACAGCGTTAGCTATGCCTTCTGTCCGCGTCCAGGCTGTCAGTCAATCATCAGCATCACCACCACTACCACCACCATTATAATAACCATCATCATTACTACTACTACTGTCACATTATCATTATTATCATCACAATTATAATTCACCGCTCGTGTGGGAAACGGACCGATGGCCAGGATTTCAGGAGCTAGGCTGTGACTGGTGGTGGACGGGAGGAAACGCGCAGAGGCCAAGCAAAGGCAAGTTGGTACAAATGAGTGAGATTCGCCTGTTCCTATCTGCGCGGCTCTTCTAGAGATCCAAGCTCTCGTCGCTATGTCTTTATTGTAGTCACGATGATCAAAGCAGCAAATCTGGCTGTGACGGTCCCACCTGATGACGGAGACTTGTGTTGCCTCCGAAACGTCGTGATTTTTTATTATTTTATTTTTTATTAATTTTAATTTGATTTTTTTACCTACGTGACTTTACCGAAAGAACTAAGAGCATGATCAAAGCTCTCCGTGTGTGTGCGCCTGTTCCTCTCCCCCGTGTTGCTGCGTGATGCCTTAAGAGTACAGTAAGCTCTCATCAAGGGTTTCTGCCCGCAGCGGATGTGTTTAGCGCACGTAGCTACACAAGCCTGCAACCTACGCAAGACCGGAGGGCTGCCCGTTTCTAGTCGATTTTCCCGGCGTGGCAGTTGAGACGATCTTGCGAGTTTCGTGTTAAACGCCCCCCCACGTCCCACCACGCGTCTCTGTCCACCCAAGCTGTGTCAAATTGGGACAGCCACAGTGAATTAATCACGATCGGAAGGTTGCGCGTGGTCATGGTGAAGTGTGGGATACTCCAAATCCCTTCCTTCTTGCAGTGATTCGGGCGAATGCCCTCTGCTTAGAGTGGAGATCTCTCAAGGTCTCCCTGCAGTAGACGCCCATCCGCCAGCAGTGCCGTGAAGCAAGCGATTTGCAGGGCCGCGCCTTTGTATTAAAACTCAGCGGTGAAGCCAACCGACCCTGTGGAGGGATGCGTTGTCAGCAGCCGGCAGCGCCCAGCGAAATAATTGATTGCATTGTACCGTGCTCACAAAGGCTGCGTTTTCATCGCCTTCAACCCACTTTGACCAGCGTGGCGAAGTATGGTCGTCAAATAATCCCTCGCCGCGACCAGCAGTGGACCGACAGAGGGACTGCTGCTCATGTATGTTTACAGGACAGCGCTTTGCGAATCCACTGCTGGATGAATGCCCTCCCCGTGTAGCGTTGGTGCATGAGGGTCGTTTAACCATACTTCACCACGGCTGACTAAGTCCGAGTTGGTGGGAGGAGTGAGGGGGTGGGGGGGTTAGAGGGAAATCCAGGAGCTGTTCAGACATTACTCGCCACTGATGTTAGCCGTCGCCAGGCATATAACTTAGGTAGCCAGGTTCATATTGCAGTGTATGTATGTTGAACTTCTTTCGCACCGTACGTAGCCAACCGTGCTAATCGGAGTATCACTATAATATGGCTATCTCTGCTTCTATATGGTTTGGTAAAGGGACAGGGGTGGAGGCATTTGTATGTATGTATGTTGAAATTTTTTCGCACCGTACGTAGCCAACTGTGCTAATCGGAGTATCACTATAATATGGCTATCTCTGCTTCTATGTGGTTTGGTAAAGGGACAGGGGTGGAGGCATTTGTATGTATGTATGTTGAAATTATTTCGAACCGTACGTAGCCAACCGTGCTAATCGGAGGTGCAGATGTCGTCCGCTACGATAGCCGTGGCCGGGAGTCCAACTCTGCTCGCCTGGTTCATAGTGCAGCCATGCTAACACCCTCACTCCAATTTGTATTGAATCGTGCGAATATTCAGATAATATCTCTTGCGTACACCACGTTCATTTAAACATACAACGTATATTGTTAGGCATGCGGATGAAATTATGTTGGTGTACACATTCTGCTGTGAGGGCACCCGCCTCATCCAAGACATCTTGGCCAGGAAGGAAGAGAAGGCCAAGTACCACATAGACTATTTATTCCTCACTCAAGCTGCGGCTCGTTTTGCCAGCCGTGATTTTGGGCAAGCACTTGCAGGGCTGAAGCGTTACCTGTGACTACATTCCCTCCTGCTTATATCTTTATGCACTGCATTAGTAATTCGTATATAGCATCTTAAAATTGTACCTCATCCTGAGTTTTCCGTTTAAAACAGAACATGTTGTCCAATACGTGGTCTTTTCGTGCACACAGTAGCCAGAGGACGTGCGCGTGCGTGTGCGTGTGTCTGTGTGTGCGGATGGAGGCAAATCCCAAAATTGGATAATTCGTATCTGAATTAAATCTTATCTGCGGTCTAAAAATAGCGTCGGCTTAGAGGGACGGGTTTGTGATGGCCTTGAATCTGACCCCTTCGCGCATGACCCCGACCTCTGAGACAAAGTCGCAATCTGCATAATTCATGCCCTGTAGATCGCGCGTTAATAAATTAGTGATTATGCTGTGAATTATACATCGTTGCAACAACATTTGTTAGTAATGCAATCCAGTTGTACGGCGTACATTATTGAACGGATTGGAGCGGTGGGCGCAGCGGTGAGCGTGTCACACCATTGAAGCGTGAAAACCCCAGCAGCGCACATTGTTCGATTTCTTGGTCACGGCTAACGTCAGTGGCGAGTCATATCTGAACCGGTCACTGTCCGGTCGCTCCCACCCCACCCTCTCCCTAAGGCTTCATCAACCCGCATTTTACGAGCGTGGTGAAGTATGGTCAAACACTTCCCCCATCCCCCCATGACTGACACGGTATGGGGTGACCTAAATCCAGCAGTGAATTCACAACGGGCTGCTGCTGCTGCTATACACACGTGCGCACTTATAACGTTCTGATGAAGGCATTTGGCCTATACAAATCCCATCATCTCCCCAGTATAGCCTTAACAGACTTTTGGGGCGAGTGCTGTTGGCGACCAATGAAGGCCGGCATGGAACACGAGGGGGTGGATGGCCAGCACCACGCCCGCCCACCCGCCTTTGTCTCCCCAGTGCAATGTTTAACACACCGCACCAGGTATTCACTTGAGGCTGAGTCGACCTAGGGGAGGCCCAGGAGCGGTTCAGATAATCGTCACTGGTGCTGGTGGCCGTGAGCGGGAATGGGCCTCGGGTCGCCAGGTTCGTAGCCCAGCGCGTTTGCCTGCTACACTACCGCTCCCCACAAAGCAGCTTATGTGCGCACACATGCACAGCGCGGCCGATTATTTTTCACGCGAAATGCAATTCGGATTTAACTTTCCAATGAATTCGAAGCTCTTCAGCATCGAATTACAATTGCCTTTTGAGATGGGCCCAGCGCACGTGTCAGCTCCCAGCTGTACCGGATTGTAAGGCGCTCCGGAAGAATGAGACCCACCCCAAAAACGCGCGCGTGTGTGCGCGCGCGCTCAGTCTAGATTCCAGTTGCAGTCGTAAAAAAAATCTGGTCACGTACATCTACCGGATTATAAGGATGCACTCCCAACAAGGTTCGTCCTTGTTATCCGGCGAATACGCTCGCTCTTTCAGCCGGTTTGCTCTGTTTTGTTTGGCATCGCTGTGCCCGTCCCCGCGTGTTCGCAAGCCTGGTGGTCTACCACCAGAAGAATCCTCCGTTCCTGTGTTCCTGCGTTCGTTGACCCGGGGCTCCCACAGCGGTGGGGGGAGCGGAGGAGTGAGTCGGTGTGCAAGACGCGTCACGGGGGCGGGCTTGTCACAGCACGGGGGGGGGGGGGGGTTGCCTCCTCTTGTGGCGGTCACGTGGGTCTTGTGTGGTTGGCACGTTCGCTGCTCGTTTGCAAGAGGTTCACGGTTCGAATTGCAGCGGCTGCCACCCTGGTTAATACCCGCGGGTGTTAATGATGATGATGATGACGCTGTGTGCCATCTGCCTCACAGTTGACCTGAAAGATGTCCCGGACCTCATTCGCAAGAGTCGGCCATTGTGTGTCGGGCGTCAGGGTCCAAATTTGACAATTTGGAAAGTTGCCCAAATATTTACTCAATTGGGGATTAGGCACACACAGCGGCAATCGCCGCTCACTGCTCTCAGACACATGGCCCAGGTCGTTCTTTCAAAATAGGCTATCCGAGTTCTCACCTTGTTAAACGAAATAAAGCTGAAACTAAACCTGGAACGCGCTGGAGGGGGCGGAGGGTGCTTGTGATACAGATTGAGGCTAACACACTGCTGCTTCACCACTTATGCTAAGAAGAAGAATAGCCATTGCCCGAAGCATCTCGCGTATTATGTATTTACCCTTTTGAGGCCGGAGTATTGTTTGACGGATTTGTTGGGCTTTTGTTGGTTGATCATCGATGCAAGCAGTGAAGCCAATTACTTGGTGGTGGTGCTGCTGCTGCTTCATTGGCAGCAGTGCCCAATACTAATTGCGTGGGGCGTGAACACGTAATGCCATCATCGTCGTCATCTACGGTTTCACATTTGTGTTTTGTTTACCATGACCTCATTCTCTAACATCATTATAATCACGAACACGCAGATACAATTGCGATCTCTTTACCACCTCCATTCACGTGAATTTCATCATAAAACTATTGATACTCTAACTTGCATTAGCATCATCTCAATAGCAATGCATAACCTACACCAACACGGATTCATTTGGTAGTATTACACATATATAGGGTGGGTGATACATTGCCTGGAATAAAATGAATTAAATGTGTTTTTTCTGCTTGCACAAGGTCTGGCACTATGTCTGTGTAGGGACTTGCGGTAAACTAATGCCGCGTTATGCAATGGAAATTACAAGATGACATTTTAATCTATCTCTTGCTCAGTATTTACATTCTGTACCTTGGAGAGCTACCAAAGTAGACATAATCCGACAACAGCATTTTCAATCATGCTAAATCGACATACGCGACGTTAGCATGATGCACATACGATAATATAGCCGGGCTACATCTCTCGCTGCATGCTTAATAAAGTCGTTGTGTGCAGAGATGCAGAGATGCACACAAAGACAAAAAGCCCCGTCTAGTCGACACAGGCTCTCCTCTCCTCCCCCCTCAACTCGCTTTTAAGGGATTACATCTTGAATCATTGCCTCACTTGATGCAGCTAATCTGGCTGTGACTGTCCCACCTGATGACGGAGACTTGTGTTGCCTCCGAAACGTCGTGATCTTTATTTTATTTTATTATTTTATTAATTTTGATGTTTTACCTACGTGACTTTACCGAAAACACCTAAGAATATCGACACA